TTCAAGAAGTGAAGTTGAACGAATGCAAAGGGTAAGAATAGAACAGTTCTCAGTTTTCTTGAATAATATCAATTCATTCAAAACTCTCCATGTAATACCAAAGAACACAAAACATTGGATATGGCATTTTTCACATGCCAAAAACAATTATGGAGTAATAATTAATAATCAGTGCCACCCTTCCCAATAATTTCAGTTGTCTTTAATCTCTGAAACACCAAGTCGTTGTCGAAATACAGATGACTTTCTATAAAATACAGGGTGTCAAATGAACATGTTCTCCCCTCTTAATTCAAAAGTATGAAACTTTGTGCATAAAAGTGCATCAAGTTGAGCTAGTCATCTGGTACTTCTTGTGGAGTTGCTCCATGTAGCCTAGTTTTGAGGTACCTAAGAACATAGGATGTTAAAGCTTAGAGGGGGGAAGAACATATTTATTTGACACCCTGTATAATCATTTCCTCTGATTTCACCGTATACTTTATAAGGATACATTTAGTATGTGTTCCTTTCAGCTCACTGATTGGTTGAGAAAAGGTCAGCACAGTGGGTAATTTAGTGAATATAATATCATAATAACCATCTAATACAATGCAATATAAAATACAGATATCTGGTGTGAACAGCTCTATTTACCACATCTGATACAAATGATAAGGTCCAGTAGTTCAATATCTTCACTGAAATTGATAGTGATAAATTGGACCAACACAATACATCACAATTTTGCTTCAATGCAGACTGCAGAGGTATGACAGCTGAAGCTGTCTGGTTATTTGCAAAGGGGGGAGGGTGGATGTGTGAATAAGAGCCTGTGTGTCACCCCAGGGGAGGGAGGATGTTGGAGCTAAGAGCCAAGAAATTTCCCCAGGGGGGATTGACCCCTGGGAACTACCCTCACAAAATGTCCTAACAATAATTAAAAAAATTAATTTAACAACAGTCAGATTCGCAGTGGTGCGGTATATTGCTTGGTTCTGAATATGCGCTTATATCTTTAGATTCTGAGGTGTGTGGGTTCTAATTAAAACAAGTGATAAACTTAACTATGGTATAATTTAGAATAAGCTTACATAGCAGAAAAATCATATCAGAGACATACCACATAGTTAAGCTTTTATAAAAAAAAGTTGACTATTTTATGAACTGAAATAAATCAAACAAATCTCACACCATTACTTATACTTCCCATTCCTCCCTACTGAAATTCCACACGTACATATTTTGGAAATTAGTGAACAATGGACTACTAGGACCTGATATAACCCTAAGAGTTAAAATACAGAAATACCAAATTATGCTACTAGGCTATAGGGAGTGTTTTTTATTTCAACTCTGAACGACCAGTATGTGTAACCCTACAGCATATGTTCAACAGTGGAGAGATGTTAATTATGCATAAGTAGGCCTCCCCAAGCCTACAAGCTGAATACAATTCAAGGCACACAACTCATTATCATCCAGCTAGTTCCTGCTGGGTAATTGCCATGTGCAATAAGGGTGGGGAGGACAAATTAGTTATCTCATAACCAATACACTCATAATATGCATGATTTAAGTGCTTTATAAGCATATCTATGGTTTATCTCAAGTCCTTTTGACATGTACATGTAAAATAAAATGAAACTAAAATTTTATTATGTTCACATATAAGTGACATGTGATAAGGAAGTATTTTTGTTATACTGTATGTTTGAACTTTTTTTCATGTCATTGAATTTCACAACCAATATCCTGTATAATAGGAAGTGAGTGTTTAGAGGGAAGTTCAATGAATTTCAATTATTTCATGAAATCATCAAAATGAACACAACTGCCATCTTTTAAATGACTGGGTTTCTATTTCAATAAAATAAAGGATTCTAACAGTGAAATGTCATAGGATAATGGAATATCTGGGTATCTTTATGTACTAAAAAAACATTTGAATCCTGTTCTGACAGTGTACCCAGTGGAAATATACTGCCCTCTACCAGGTTATTTAGTACACAATCAGAGATATACTAAGGTAGAACAGGATGTTTTTAAACAACCAGGATTAGGTTATAAAATTATATCCTTTCATAACGTGTTATTAATTTTTTGATCTCTTCTGACTGGCACCACTGGACCCAAGTGCTCCATTGGATTTTATTGGTTACAGTACCTTTCATAAAACAGTTCAATGACCCTGGGAAGGATCAACTACCAAAAGTTCAATCAATCATATGTCCTACTTTGGTGAACCAAAAAGTCAAAGTATACTGCCTAGATTCCTGATCACAATTCTTTTTAAAGCATCATTTTTGATGACAGCTGCACCAATATCAAAAGGAATCCATCATTTGGATTCAATATTTCCCACCCTTGAATATTTTTGAAAGGATACATATACTTGTACATGTATAATATGGCATTTCTCAATAAATAAACAGCATTTTTATGGCAGGGGCGGGGTCAACCCTAGAATCGATACTGCATTTTGTTCTACATAATACATAGAGCATATATTATGAAGTTGAACTTTAGTGAAATGCGTGGAGGTCTGGAGGTATGCCAGTAAAAACAAATAATAAAACAAACAGTCTGGATAGTAATGTCCCCATGAGATGTCAACATGCCACACTGGCAGATATATAAACAAAAATAAAAAAATAAAAAATCATCAATTTGGTACTTTCTGACATGACTTCTAAATAGTCATTCAGTGTCTCAAATAAAACGTAAGGTCAGATCTATATTGACACACAAGTGTGGTGGATTATAAAGGGCCGTCCGTCCATTAGATCTTTGGCAAATGTAAACTTAATAGGAGATACTAATGGGAAGGGGAGGGGATGGCTAGACTGGTCTGCTAGTGTTGGAAATCCAGACCTTTTAAGTTCACAAGAATTAATTTTTAACTTTCATGAAAGGGTTTAAACACTATAAAGTTGATGTCAGCAAATAAGCTCTATCTATTAACATTTTCTTTTGACTACAAATTCAATAAAAAAAATGAAGGTGACATCTATCTTGAAGTTACATCTTTAAACCTAAAATCCAAACAGCAAATGGTCTCAAATATAGCTTTTATGGTAGTCTGAATGTAAGTTACATGTAAACTTCAGTATGTAGAAAATATGGTGAAGTTTTAGGATTTTAAGATTTCACAATTAGGATATAGTTCACTTTGTATTCCTTCAAATTCACCTTTTCACTCCTTCAGTTTAAAGATCCAGAGATGACAGATGACTTTTCTATATACAATATGGTCATTTTTCTGTCGTGATAATGAGCTTAATGAGTTAATGAGCACGCATTTAGCAAGTGTTCATTCCAGCTTGCTGATTGGTTGAGAAAAGGTCAGTGCAATAGGTTTGAAATGATTCATGGCTCATGCACTAGTCATGGGGGCCGTGCTGCTAAACTGAAATATAGTCTTTACTAGGCAGATGATAGTTTGTATCAAGGCATTGACATGACAAAATGTCACCACCTAGTTGCTCATAATATTATTAGTTCAATCTAAAGACAGATTTGAACTTCTGAGAACTTGTAGATGATTTTGAAAAAAATTGGTCAATTTGAAGCAAGTTGGAAAATACCTTTTTGACCTTGAGGTCAAATATTTTTTTGACCTTGAGAATGTCATTGAAGGTCAAATCTATAGTCAGATTTGAACTTTTGAGAACTTCTAGATGATTTTGAAAAAGTTGCTAAGTTTGAAGCAAGTTGAAAAAAATACCTTTTTGACCTTGAGAAGGTCAATGAAGGTCAAATCTCAAATCTAAAGTCAGATTTGAACTTCTGATAACTCATAGATGATTTTGAAAAAAGAAATTGTCAATTTGAAGCAAGTTGAAAAAAGACCTCAAGGTCAAATCTTGTATATAAAGTCAGATTTGAACCTCTGGAAACTAGTAGATGATTTTGAAAAACCTGAAGTCAGTCTAAACAGTATTTCTTAAGTTATTGGAAGTTTTAAGAATTTGTTACAGACGCCAACCGCCGATCGCCAACTGCCGATCACCAACTGCCGTCACAAAAAACGGAGACCATAACAATATGTCACCACTTTTTGGTGGTGACATAACTAGAGTGCGAGCAGGGTAAGGATATAGTGCAACAGAGAAATATCTTTAATTGAAAGATTGTTGGCGAAGACATTTGAAACATGGGACAGATATCTCATTTGAAACATGGGACAGATATCTCATTTGAAACATGGGACAGATATCTCATTTGAAGGCCACAGACTGGACTAATTATTCTTAATTATTAAGTCCCTAAAAAAACTGATGGATATAAAATGTGCACTGGTTCATACATCATACTGGTTCATACTTCTTTCTACTACTAAATTGTAAGAGCATTTTCTTTGGAATAATCTTTACTAATTACCTGACCAACCCTGAATGAGATTGGAATCTCATCTCAAATTTATTTACTGTATCTGTAAAAATTGACATTTAAAAAATTTGGAATCTGAATTACTTGTGAGTGTTCTAAATATCTGTATTTATATATTTTATTAATCCCGAAAGGCTGATGATGAGATAATAGTATGGTCTCACATGAATTCACCCTACCAAATATATATATTCCCATTCATGTGGTTGTACATAGTGGGGAATATGCATGGTCTTGATCTTAGAGGGCATATAAAGTGTTGTTTAAAATATGGCACAAAGTTCTCTGTGTACACAATTAGTCAATTACCAAATCACTACCATGCAGCCCTGTTACCAAAACTTTATTAGAGAATCAAATCTTTCACAAGACCTTGAGCTACTTGCTTTCTAAAAATAAAAGAACTAAAAAATTTTCTGCATTTTTCAGTTAAGAAATGACATTTTGTACCTCATTTATGAAACATGAGAAATTATATGAAGAATTAAGTGCCGTGCAAGACCATCTTTGAATCTTTTGTTTACCACCACAATAGCTGGATATGATTCATAATTTACACATATTCTAGAAGAAGACCCAGAGCCCCCTCCTTGTAGTCTTGTTCTATTCTAATATAAAGAAACACTTACCTCTGCTGATTCCAGATCTTTGTTATAGGATTTGGGAGGGAACCTCATTGCCTGAAAAGAAGAAATAGTATCATAATTTTTGTATAGAAATGAATTCCTGATAAGAGCTGATGTGAAAAGTCAGTCCAACCCAGTGGAAATTAAGTCCCAATCCCTAGCAATCATGGAAAGTATCCTTCCACTGAGATACAATACAATACAATATTTCATATACAGATATGGCAACCATTGCAGTCAAATTCAAGAGTGTTAAACTATGTGTGAAATATATATTTTTACCTTAGGATTAAGGCATAAGGTATTTTCCTTCTTTGTTATTCCCATTATAGTGGGGTGCCGAAAGTGTTTCCATAATAAAGATCTTTTTCATTTTGGAGCAGGTTCAGTTTTTGGATTTGGTGTGGCTTATCAACTCACCTTTACAGATTGATTGTGAATGTCAAGGCAGAATCTGATTCTCTGATGTAAGGCTGACATAGGTTCCCTTGTGCTGTATATATCAATGTTCTCTTTGGACTGCACATAGCCCTCTTCATGGTTGATCACAGCCTCTATTACACCATCTCTAATGGCCTACAAAACATAATTCATGATTTAGTAAAAAATTCACTATATCAAATTCCGCTTAACAGCTATCTAAATCATGTCAGTAAGGTCTTAGACTTGGCATGTGCTTAGAATGAATGATTATCTAGTCAAATCAAACACTTTTGTGAAAAATAAATCAATAAAGTATGAAATACAGAAGATAATCTCTCAAAATCAAACAGGTATAGCAATGTGGCCTAATTGTGATGTCACTGCGAGATAGAATCCATCCAGTGATCGAAAATCATCAATTCATTGAGTCCTGTGCTTAAATCCTCAAACATAATATCATCCTCTAACAAATCTCCTCTACTAGTACATTTTCAATACCTTAGCTACAATAAATTCGGCATCCTCTGGACTGTCAAGCATCAACTTCTGTGCAATGTCACTCAGAGATATTCGAGAATACGACAAGTTGATCATCCTTACACCCGTCTTGATGACATTGTGTCGTAGTCTGATGATTAATGTATAGGTGTCCTCTTGGGCAAATTTCTCACCATAATTTTCTAGTACTTTACTGAAGTCTGATAAACTACCTTTCCTCACGGCTGTAAATATATTGTGATTATTAGCATCATCAATAAATACCAGTGGATTATAATTTAGCGTATTCTCTTGTTATTTATTGAACTGAATTATTGATATTTCTCCAATTTAGTCTCATCAAAATATAACAACTTTATTTTGATCATTACAGTCAAGTATTTTTGAGAATATGTGTGGAAAGAAAACTGAAGATCATATCCTTTAGTAGGAGGTAGAAGTGTCAAAGAAAGAAGTTCAACACATGTAAAGCGTATGCGTAAATTAACATTTAACAAGATATATTTCCAAACTAGTCTTTTTCCGTAGTACATGAGTGCACTTTGCATATCTTATGTAAATGCACAATTAATTCAATTACCTTGTGTTAGTTGAAAATATGGAGCTAAAGTTTTCCTCATGGATGTCTGTCGAAATATAGATCTGTCTGGAATATCTCCGAGTAAAAGTTCTACTGTAATGGCTAATTTTTGGACCTGAAAAAAGTCATTAAAAAACATTCAATTATTTTGCAATAAAAATGTATTTCATGGTTCCTTCCAATAGTTTGATTTTTGGTTCTTTCAAGAGAGTTTCATCTGCAATTTTTGAATAAAAACTAAAATTGTCTGCAGGGTAGTGAAACATCGCCAATGTCACATCAAATACTTTATAAACATCTCTGGTCATTAAATATGATGACAATTAAGTATGAGTGACTTACTGTTTGTTTGAATCCTACTGCAGTATGTTGAGGAGCCTTTCTTATTGCTTGGAGGAGATTTTTATGTGCTTCAGAGTATTCCAACTGCATGGCTTTGATTCTCCCTGAATTAAAAGAAAAACTAATTTACTAATCCTAAAGGACATTTTGTTTCGATTTTTCACATTTCCTGCATTTTTAGCTCTATGTGTTATGTGAAGCTTTCCATTTATTACCAATTAAAAACTTTCAGAAAAAGGATCAAATTCCTTTGCTCGAACTGTTGCATTATCTTGTGCTGTATTGTTATATTTGGCAACAAATAACTAATAACGTTGGCTTTTTTTTAATATTTCCTTAGTGACCTGCTTTGTTTTATTGTGGTTTTAATCAACTACCAGTGCAAATGTAAATGTAAGTCGAGCTTCTTACATAACATGTACTGATAAAATATGATTCTGACACCACCAAAATGATTTAACATATAGGAGCAAGAATAAAAGCATGTTGGTTTGGACCCCTCTTATGCTACTATACTGATGTAAAAATTGCCCCAATAGTAATTTGTATCATTGCTCATCAAACAAACCTAGGTTTCTGATCCAATTAACTGTTTACTATAAACTGCATCCTTCTAACCAGGTAACCAGAATCCGTACCTCCTTCCCCCTGCTATACCCAATTTGGAAGCGCCAGATTAAACTGAATCATGTGATCTAATTATGCGCAATGACTTATACATGATTTCTGTCGCAGTGTTGCGACAGCCAATCAGATTGCGAGTTCTTAATCGGGGAAAGGCTAACTGCTTATCGCAGGGGGCAAAAGAAAGAATATATTCTGGATTTTGAAGCCCTGTGATTGGATGATGTATAAACTGCTGAACATAATTTCCTGCTTTTTCCAAATTCGATCGACTCTTACCTAAATAATACAAGAATCTAGCCCATTCATTATTTGATGCATTTTCTGGAAAAGTAGACTTTGATACTAGTTTGTCTGCTTGATCGTAGAGGTTGTACACCAAGTAGTTTCTAAGCAGGAGGTTTTGTAGTGTGGCCTGTCCCTCATAGTCAGATCGGAGAGTAGATGTGCGCAGTCTTTGGTGGAGAAAACTGAAACACCAATCAGAACGATGTAAAACATCACTGAAGCACCATCATGCAAACTTCTTATCTCAATAGATGTATGTCTTAAAATTGTTTGTGAGGTGGTAATACACTGTCATTTTTCCATTGATAGGAAATAAATCCATTTTTGTGCTATGTGGTTATAATCTAAGCTGGCACCAAGAGTACTGTTTACAGTCTGAGTTATGTCAGATAACAAAAACCCTTTACATGGATGAGATTGATCTGGTGTGTTGCTTTAAAAAAATATATAGACAGAAATGTATTTTATTTACCTTCTGACTTTATCTAGTTGATCTGTTAACTCATAAACCCTGGCATGGTAGAAATAGCACTTAGCGGCAAGCATGTCTATAGTCCTTCTGTTTAGAGATGTCACCTTTTCTATGAGATTATCCGAACACTTGACAGCCTAGAAATACCATAATACAACATTCAGACACTATATAATAACATCTACATTGTTGAGACACAAACAAGACATAAACCTTTTTATGTCTATTTTCTAAAAATCTATTAGGTGCACACTTTATTTCAGGAAGACTAAAGATTTTTACAATAATATATTATTTTTCTATAAGAATGGTAACCATTCTTATTATTTAGGAGAATTTAAACATTTTTCAACCATTTTTGCACTTTGAATACATTATAACTTCGCCAATTTATAACATATCAAGAATCTTTTGGGAGATATTGTATTTGAGATAGTAAGGAATAGAATGGTAGGTCAATTGTACATGTTGCTTGTAATTTTGTCACCCCTATAGACCTGATTCTGCCTTTAACAGTTCTATTACATCAAAGCTACAGTTGTTGGTATAATGTGACAAAACACCTCTCTCACCTCTTTGAATTTCTTTTGATCTATCAGGTACATGACAAGCAGTAAATGTAGGTAGCTCTCTATCTCTGGTAGAAGGACTGGATTTTTGCCTGTTCTCAAACGAAATGGATGGCCATTTTCATCAGTTTCCATAACCTAAGAAATGGTAGAATAACAATTGGCTGTTGTTGAGAGTTAGGTAAAATGTCTTTCTGAAATGTCATACCTTAAACTATTGTTTATTTTAGGAATACATAATGATAGCAGTAGCAACCCATTCAATATGGTGAAAAGCACAAAGTTGACAGAATATCTTACTAATACAAAGCATGAACCTAAGTTTAATACATGTGTACTTACATCCTTACCAATGAGCAGACTTTCATTGTTTATTTCAATTTAGCATAAAGAATTAAAAAATGATATGGAAAGAGATCCATGAAAGAACCAACAGGGCACTCATTACTGCAATTTTTGTTTCTTGCAACCAAGTAAGGTTCCATTGCGCATATAGCTCATCTCAGAAATGAAACGATATACCAAAAGAATCAAGCATAATGCCAAGTATTATATTTGCAAATAAGGAAAGCAGTAATAACATTAGAAGTTCTTGATTTCCATTTGAAAATAAAATTTCCCGAATTTTGGGTAGATTTGAAATGCAAAGACCATCAAGAACTTACATTATCTGTTATGGGCACATTCCAAAAGGAATTACAATGTTGGCCGCAAAAACAATATCTGAATGATGAGATTGAGGAAAATACAATAATACCTCATCAAGATATGTAAGAAGCGTATCCTTTTGACCAGATGATGCAGGGAATCCACTAATGATAATTTTCCTGAGAATCTTCTGGTTGAGACGTCTGCGTATAGATGCCAATGCTCGTATTGCACGAGACATAAATCTGGGCTCTTTAGTTGACACAGCCTTCTCGATGTGTTTCACATGTTCTTTTATATCTGAAACAGATTTGAATTTCATAAATAGCAGATATCTGTACAAAAACAAAGACCAAAACAATGATTCAGCATAACATTTTGAAATGATGTTTCACAAATGATACAAAAAAAATAATAGACTCTGAAAATGACGAATACATAGATCACATGAAATGTGATAACAACAAGCTTTCAAGATTTTGATAATGAATATATATTGCTTATACAAAGGATATTCGTACCTTCTAGGGTGAGCAAATCTGCATCTTTTTTGGGTTTTGGTTCTTCAATTTTTTCATCTTTCATTTCGACGTCTGTACTCGTTTCCTTTTTTATTTCAGTCGTCATTGTATATGTCATTTGAAAGAGAAATATATACTTGTATCAAATAATATTACAATTGAGAGATAAAAGAAGAACTGATGGAGCTATACGTAAATATAAAGTGCCAATCAGACCGGCATGACTTTTTCTGAGCAATGGCGGAAATCTTCTTTACGGACTGACTGAATCCTGAAATGTGATTGGTCAAAATTTGATTCACGACCTGCCACAAAACAATTTTGCTGATTTTTCAAAAAAATATTTGACACAATTTTTGACATTATTAACACAAAAATCAGTATAGTACGTATATAATACGTATTTTACATATTCCATGGTATGTATTTATTTCCTTTCTATGACCCATTAATGGTCTATTTGCAAATATGATGATGCAAACTGTATAATTGATCTACACACACAAATTCATGTTTATTATCGCCCACTAGCCTAGACTTCTTATAAAAATTATTATTAGACTTACATGCCTCATAGACTTCCATGAACGCGATCATCAGTTCAGACCTCGCAAACTACATTCCTTCCACCTGAACCACGATTCTCACAACGCGAATATTGATTCATCAATTCTTTAGTCACGAAACACCAGTTCCTCTCGCGAACAAGCTCTGTTGAACTCCATTCGCGAGTGGAGAAATATGTTTTGGACAGAGGAATTGTTGTTTCATGACAAAAGAATCGATATATTTACGTTGTGAGAACCATCGTATGTGAGGTCAGAACTGATGATTTGGTTAATGGAAGCATGGGCTTTCAACTAATTGAAAGCCCATGTTGGAAGTCTGTAGAGTCTATCTATCTAAATTTTCAACTGAACACTTTTACGGAAAATACCGAAGCTGCCCATCAAGTTAGTTCAACATTAGTGTGCATGCGTCACCTGTTATCTCAGTCCCACATCCTCCATCTCTTCAGTACCCAGTACCTGTCATCTTCCAAGAAAGGTGTCATCATGTATAAAATGATTCAAGGTTTGAAAAATAGTGTCGTTATCTCAGTATTTGGTCCTTGTGTCATCTCATTCAGCTCGACATACTAAGGGCCGTCAGTTCATATGTACATTAAATCCATAGGTTCTGGGCCGATATAAAGATGGCAGCACCAACAGAATCCAGTATTATAGAAAACACAGATCGATTACCATGCCATCTTTATTTAAAAATGATTTCTATCGCCCTTAGCCTATGACTAAATCATAACATTTTTTAGAATCAGATCTATAGGGGATGACATAATGTAAGCAATATTAGTTAATGAAAACACAGAATGAAATCCTGTGCTAAGGGCTGATGTGAAAAAGTCAGTTCACCCCAGTGGGGATCAAACCCACAACCCCTCGCTTGCCGGGCAATTGCATTGCATATATAGCATTGCAGCCATGTCTTACATGCATTGCAGCCATGTCTTACATGCCTGCAATGCTATATATGCAATGTTGATGTGGAAAAGCCTAAGTTTAGTCCCAGAGATGAACTTACATGTATATTTTGCAGCATTTAGTTTTTCTTGACTTAAGAGTTAACCCTTGTTATCCAAAACCCACCAAGGCACCAATCTCACACTTTTTAGAAGTTTGCCACATGTCGCTATATTATTAAATTATTTTTCATCATTGATTTTAGATGCAGTCTCAATATGAGTTGTTCAATCCATTTAACTAAGGAAGGAAAGTTGGAGTCTACAGATATGACACATGTAAATCCACATCTGGCTCACTTTATATGCCAACATGTTACCTCACCCACGGTCTTCAAACAGTTCATTGAATCATGGCCAGCAATGCAATGGACTGTACAATTCTTGAGCAACATATTGGGAAGCAGAGTGCTTCGCTGGAGGGTTGGCTCTAAAGCTAAAGAAAAAGGTAAACTCCTTTTTAAAGTTTAGTGAGTTGATATTTATTTTTTAGAAAAGAAGATCTGTCAAAATCTAGCATGGTTTATTTTGCATAACTATTAGTTCTAAATTTAATTATGTTGGCGGATATGACAAACATTGTCTCTTTAACAATTTATAATCTTAGCATCATATTATTTTGTTCATACTTATTGATCTAGTAGTATGCGCCAAATCGCTTCAAAAGTGGCTTAGTTAGTCTAAACCGATGTTGAGGTAGATTACTAAGAAGTGACCCATAGTCATTATAGATTGGTTCATTGACTTTTCATTTTCACTTGTCTGCAGTTAAAAAGGTGACACGAAAGGGCTAAATGGCTTGCCCCAAGGTGCAACCGTCAAAAATATGAGTTTGAAAAAAATCATGTTTTTCAAATAATAGCAGTGAGTATATGAAATAGGAGGCATATTTGATATTGATATGTACAGGGTGGTCAAAAAAAATGGAAACCCTGCATTTTCCTAATATCTTTGTCATTTTAAGAAATTACTCCCTGATATTTCACACATTTGTACATCATTCAATTTCCTACCACCCTATCAAATTTCATGACCATCAGACCAATAGTCACAATTTTACAGCACTTTGAATAACATGCTTCAAGTTTGGCCATCATCGCGCTGTAGGCAAACCTGCACAGTTGTCAATGGGCCGAATGCATTCCTCAGCAGGTATGGCCTGAATGGTACGGATGATCTCACTTTTGAGGTTTGTGATTGTCCTGAGGTCATTCTCATACACCTTTTCCTTGCCATATCCCTACAAGTAGGGACATTTTGGACGGCGAGTGCAGGTGGCCCAACAGTGCAATAGTGGCCACTAGGGCATGTTCTGTAAAGTGCTGTAACATTGTGACTATCAATCTTATGGTCGTGAAATAAAGTAGGCTGGTAGGAAATTGAATGATGTACAAATGTGCAAAATATCAGGGAGTTATTTCTTAAAATGGCAAATATATGAGGAAAATGGTGTAAGGGTTTCCATTTTTTTTGACCACCCTGTATGATAGTCTATTTGGGTGTGGTCATTTTTATTAAAAACAATAATGGTGAAGAAATATACATTACTGACCTTGAAATGCCATTTTAATTCAAAAGTCACTGTTGCTAATGATAATATTCCTATTTTACTTATTTAATGTTTTCTAAATGTTTAAATTACCATTATGTTAGTTTTTGGCAAAGTAAATATTTATAGGGGTCACACAAGGATCCACTTTATTTACAACTTTTTCATATTTAGTGATGATTTAAAAAATGCTAAGTTTAACACAATTTTATTTGTTAAATATTAAATAAAATGATGGTATTGTGTTTGTTTCATTGCTTCAACTAAAAATCGCAATTCATTGCTCTTGCTCTTAGAGCTGCAGGGCATATACTAGTACAAAAAGTCTTCAATAAAGTTGATCCTTGTGTGAGCCCTACGATTATTTACTTTGCCAAAAATGAATATAACGATTATTCAGATATATAAAAATCCTTTAATAGGTTAAATAGGAATACAATGATTGACTTTTGAATAAAAAGGCATTATACATGTACATATATATGTAGTTGTTGCAGTAAAATTACTACACCAAAGCTGACTATCTTTCCATATTAATATCAAATGGGCCTTCTATTTGCATTTTACTAAAATTATTTGTAACAAAAGTTTATTGTGATAAAGCAGGCAGTGATTTTGATACTTTTTTTAGCTTGCAGACAGTGATCTAGTCCAGACAACATCTTGTAGTAATGGGTGTTACAGTGATGAGGCAGGAATTGATTTTATAAATGCAACTTTTGACAATTCCATTATTATTTGTCCAAAATTCTGCTTGGGCGCCAAATTAAAAGATACCGATTTGCATCACATCAAGTTTGATTTGTTCACCGATGTTTGTCAGAGTGATACCTGTAGCAGCTGCACTAGACAAGATATATGTGAGCTTTCATCGCAACATTTACATTAAGAACAGTTACAATTTTACTTAGTCTGATAGAGAATTAAATAATTGAAGTATATTTCTTTGAGTTTATTCAATTTGATTATTACTTTTACAATACAGATACCTTCGTTTTGAAACATTAGCAGCAATTTTATTTTCAAACGGTCAGTTTTCAACTTTGAATGTTTCATTTTTGTTCATAAAAAGTGTATTCTACAAAAGTCAAGGTCATTTCAAGGTAAATGTCAATATTTAGGTAGTTGGCTTTTTAAGACACCCGGCCGTTGATTTGACCCTCCACAACCAATGATTAGGTGACCTGAAGTCAAGGTCTGAATGGATCAAGGAAATTTCAAGGTCAAAGGTCAATATCTAGCAAGTTGACGTAAGAACAATTGTGACCTTTGGCGACCAATGTGATTTCAAGGTCGAAGGTCAATATCTAAGTCATAGGTAGTTGGCTACTGTGGGTCTTCAGTACCATTTGATCACCAAAGATAAAGTGACATACGGTCAATGTCACTGTTTATGGTCAAGGTCATCTCAAGGTCAGAGGTCAATATCTGAATATTTGGCATTTTGGGGATGCTGCTTCATGTGAGGACCCATTGATATGTGTTCTGAGGTCAAGGTCATTCCTACAAGGTCAAAATCTCTGTATTTGGCATTTTGAGGCGCTGGGGGCTGCTATAACCCTTGGCAACTCATGCTAAGGTGACAACTAAGTCAATATCTATAGTTCAAAATTATAGTAAGGCCAAAGGTCAATATCTTGGTAGTTGGCTCGTTTGAGGCTACACTGACATTTGATCACCAATGATAAATGACCTGAGATCAGTGTCATTGTTATAGGTCAAGGTCAGAGATCAATATCTAAATATTTGGCGTTTTGGGGCGGCTGCTGCACTTGACTCCATTGAAACGTGACCTGGGGTTTGGCGTTTTAAGACCACAGGGGCTGCTGGCGTGATGTGGCCCTTGGCGACTCATGATAAGGTGACATGAGGTCAGTCATCATTTAATGGTTTAATTCAAGATCATCTCAAGGTCAAGGTCAATATCTAGGTATTGGTGTTTCAAGGCACTTGGGGATGCTGTGACGCTTGGTTACTCATTACTAGACTTGGGGTCAAAGTCATTACTGATGGGTCATGTCAATTCAAGGTCAAAAGTCAATATCTAGGTATTAAGCCTTTTAAGGCCTTTGGGCTAGTTCATCTCATGCATCAGAAAAGGTCAAAAGTCAATAGCCAGGTATTTGCAATTATTTTTAAGGCCATGTGGGGCTGCTGTGACCGACTCGAATAGTAGTTTGCTAGTATTATTAAAGATACACAAGAATATGGCGGGAGGGTGGCAAAATCGTCTATTTACTTTATATTCAAATATGGACCTGAGGGTTCCTTCAGGGAGTTGCGTGTTAATGCTCTGTGTGGGAACCAAACCTAGTACCTTCGAGTCTAGATTCTGATGCTCTACTGCCTGAACTAGCAGCCATGCTACAATTCCATTAAAAAGAAAACATGGACCGATATTGTTTTGTTTAGATAAATATTTCAAATCAATTTTCTACTACAATTCGGTTAGAGCAATATATTTTTTCAATTGACATTTCAAAAGTAATAGTCAATCATTTCTGTTTTATCATGTCAATTTTAATAAAAGAGTGAGGGAAAGTATCGCAACAGATTTTTGACAGTAAATAATTTTTTTCTAGTAGTTTCTGGCTGTACAAAAATGAATGCATATGAAAGGCCAATGTATAATCTCTAAGAAAAATTCAAAGAATGGTTTCAAGATCAATTGGATTATCTCATAAGCCATGTTTAATCCACCCACCAACAAGCTTTTTTCAAAATACAATCGTCATTTTCACCATCGTCCCTCATTTTTTTTTACAATTTTCATGCAAAGTTACATTGTACTTGAACACATGTTTCATCACTTAAAATATATAAGGAACTCCTCGTGGATTAGGATTATGATAATCCAATATAAGGGGATCCAATGGGGATCTAAAAGCTATGCTTTTAGTACAGCACACTCATATAAGATGTCATTAGTGTGCCATAAAGTTAGTTCAAAATGTTTTCATAAATGAATGGTTGGACTTGTTTGATCCCCTGCTGTTTGGTCCCCTGTTTAATCAATGAAGCATTACCGCAGCATTTCCCCAAAAATTCTGAATACCTGTCAAATTGACTGTTTAATGTTTGAGTGCAGTTAAACCTGTGTGTATGTGTGTAAGTTGCTTTGTTTGTTTGTTTTTATCCATCTGTACTAGGTGCTTTGATGCCACCTTTGTTTAGTCTCTGGTGCTTGTTTTTCACACTGTGCTATCACTTGTAAGTTTTACACTGATGGTTTGTAGAAGTCTCTTTTTTTTATTAGACTCCAGATGAAAATCTGGAGTCTATTGCTTTTGCCAGTTTTCTTATTATTATTCTTTCTTCCTCTTCCTCCTTCCCAGATTTCTCGCCAACTAGAAGAGCTTACTTTAAGCTGCTTACATGATTAACTAGGGAATGTATCTGGGATGATGGGAAATTAGGTCAAATTTTTATCTAGGTCAAAGGTCAAGAACTAGGTCAAATCCAGTACTTTGTCACTTTTTCCCATTATCTCGGTCGTCCTTCAATATTTTTGATCCTGGTTTTTTTCATTGTGTTCCTCATAAAAAAGTAGAAAACCTAGGGTCGATTTAGTTTTTTGGTATCCCAAACCGATTTCGAGATATCAGTGTCCGAAAACGAGGTCCAAAAAGAATTTCACCGAATCCAATGTCCAGGATATCAGTCTTATAGGAAATTTTCTCTGGATTCCGAATCTGAAAACCAAATTTCGATCAGACTTCCGGTTCAGAAGTTATGGCGTTTTAAAAATTCAAAAATCGCTAAATTTGGTGCCCCATGTTAATTCAATGGGAAAAAATATGTTTTTGAAGTGTAAAATACGAGATATAGACTAAGCACAGCTAAACATAATGGAAGCCCATAAAAGAAAGGGAGCACAAGACCTTCTTTTCATAAAAATT